AACATCTTGTGTAATTAATCTTTCCATGTAATTGTAGCCTAAAACAATGTAAGTACTGCAGTGTAGTTATGCATGTAATGTACAAAATAGGAAACTAGGAATAAAGAAGACTTTTATGAGTAATATTATACTTTATTAGCAATAGCAGTAAATCAAAAATAAAAATTGTAATTTGAATAATATATTATATTTAAAGTGTATAAAATGTATTATTTTAATATAATTCTATGACACAATTAGTACATTCAAAATATACTAATGAAGCTCTTGAATACTACATAAAAACTATACTAAGTACTACTTGAAGTTGTTCCAAAGTACATTGAAGTATACTAAGTATACTAAAAATTGTAAATTAATACTATTTAAATACTATTGAAATATACTAAGCACAAAAAAGTTGTCCCAAAATAGTACAGTTTAAGTACATTAATCAAAGTATGTTAAAATTTTGTATACTAAAGTATACTTTTTTTCATTAGGGAGAGAGCATGAAAACTATTGGAGTAAGACTCACATTCCAAAAATATAATACAGACTGATCAAAACATCAAGATTTAAATCATCAGGTGGACCAAAATATAACCTTTTTTTGGTATTTTAATAATTCATATAAAAATAATTTGTATAAATAAGTTTTCCAAATCATTTTTTAAAAATATGAAACTAAAAACAAACTGCAAGTCTGGTGACTTTTTTGTTAGTGAAGTTACAGGTAGTAAAAACTACTAAAAGTAACTACGGTACTTTCCAAAACTTACTAGTTACTATCTCACTCTGGTTCTGACTGGGTTCTGGGTTGTAATGGATCCGGGTTCTGATAATCAGCGGTATTTATACCTTTTAATAAGGACAGCACAATCTATGTCTATATTTAAATGCTAATCTGATGAAGTACTGACGGGTGCAGCATTTGGCTTCTCTGATTTTTTTATTTCTGATTTTATTATTGAACTTCAACACTAAAGAGTGAAGAAATAATAACACTTTATTGTTATAAACTGAGATAATCAAACCATGCAGGCCTTGTTCAATGAGTGTTTCTATTGCAATAAAATAATCGGACCAATCATCCCTGCTTTTATCCAGATTCAGATTCTGAGTTAGTCCACTTTTATTGTGAAAATCCTGAACCGGAAACGGCACCGTAATCCTGCAGTTAACACCCAGACCAAGCCAAAGTGAAGTGCTCGACTGCTGCCAACCCGGAACTTTTTGACCCGTTAGTTATCCCAGAAGACGGGGGTTCTGGAGCTTCCCGTCGGTTCCGTGTTGGTTCGGTAGGCAGGTCCAGCTTTTCGGACCCGTCTGGTTCCGCCCGGAGGAGAAGCCAAGAAGCGGCTCCGATGTTCTCCGAGTGACCGCGGCGGTTCCCGTAGGACAGCAGAAGTTTTCAGAGCAGGTAAGAGGAGCCGAACCGAGCCGCCAGAACCCGGTTGTGCTCTCTGCTAGGTGGACAATAAAGTTCTGGACAGAAACATGGAGGAGGGCAGAGAGGTGAAAGGTCACAGTCTGGTAACTTTCAGCTGAGTTTGATTCTTCCAGCTCCTGTCTGAGTGAAGTGCTCTGGTTAGGCTGTGTGTGTGTGTGTGTGTGTGTGTGTGTGTGTGTCAGGTTAGGAATGTCAGGCAGCTCCAACCCTCCTCCTCTGGAACGGTGGAGGGGGGGGGGGGTCCTTCGTCCTACTGAACCGGCCCAGATTCTGCTGAGGTTCTGGGTTTAATGAAGCAGAACCTCCCTGTTTAAACTGAGATCCAGTTTAGTTCCAGTCAGTCCAGTTCATCCCCGTTCATTGGTGTGGTTTGCTTCTCCTCAGCAAGTATGTGGCGACAGTGGAAAGGAACACCTTGAAACCCATCAGAACCAGAACCTGGATCAGATGTCATAGAGGAGACCCGGGGAACCTGACATCTGATCACGTTCTGACTGAAACGTGATTAATGTCAAGAAACAACTCGATGTTTACAAAAATCTGCTGGTGGGACACTTTGAACATCCAGGGGCGGCCGGGGGCGTGGCTACACGGGGGGCGTGGCTACACGGGGGCGTGGCTATGCCCCTAAAGAAGACTAAGGCCTCCTTTAATAAATAAAGGTCAAACATCAGTTTTCTTCTTCAATCAAGAAGGTCATGAAACCCAACAAATTATTACATAAACAAATAATAAATATATCATACATATCAAATGTTCTAGAGTTCACTCTGATTTGACCCAAAACATAATTGATCTGAACCAGAAACGTCCTAATATTTCTAATATTTTGGTGCCAGAAAGACCCAAGATCCTTCCTACAGTCGGTGGGCCGAGTTCAGAATGATCTGGTTAATGATCTGCATGGCGGAAGTTGAGCTTCTGTTTGGACTCTGACTCCAGCAGGAGGCGGAGCTTCAGCTGCTGCTCTGCTGCAGGTTTCAGCAACATGGAGGACAAGCCTGGACCGGCGGGGGCACGTCGAGAAACACGCTGCAGACGCTCTGGCCCTGACTCTGGCTCTGGCTCTGGTCCTGGTTCTGGTTCTGGCTCTGGTCCTGGCTCTGGTCCTTGCTCTGGCTCTGGTCCTGGCTCTGGCTCTGGCTCTGGTTCTGGTCCTGGTCCTGGCTCTGGTCCTGGTCCTTGCTCTGGCTCTGGTCCTGGCTCTGGCTCTGGCTCTGGTCCTGGTCCTGGCTCTGGTCCAGGTTCTGGCTCTGGTCCAGGTCCTGGTTCTGGCTCTGGTCCTGGTCCTGGCTCTGGCTCTGGTCCTGGTCCTGGCTCTGGCTCTGGTCCTGGTCNGTTCCAAAATAGTACAGTTACATCAATCAAAGTATGTTAAAATTTAGTATACTAAAGTATACTTTTTTTTTACTAGGAAAGCATTCCAACGCACCAATGCAGAAAGGCCTTGGTGGGAACGTAAATTAAATTTCACTGCTCCAAAGACTGTTTCCACATGTGGTTCTCTGTTTTTACCTTTAGGATAAGTGAAATTCAACACTTAAGCTATAAGAACCTATTAAAAATGTATAAAATAAAAGGTGTCACAATCATGTCATTAATTTGTTCATTATCAAGTAAAGTACGTACTTGTGTTTGATTTGTTTCCAGGGGGTGTATGCAGTTGGAAATTTCCAGTCAAGTGAGGAGCCCAACAGCAGTCATCCTGTCCTTTTGCACCACCCTTCTTGCACATTGCCACATGTAAGTCAGGAGGCTGTTCTCCATCACCTTCAGATGAAAGCTAGTATGTCTAGTGAGGCTGGTATCCCCGCCTCCCACTCTGAAAGCCTGCTTCACCGAGGCCTTCAGCAGCAGAGACCTGAAGACAGCCTAAAGTGCTCCAATGCTAATGTGGAAGTGATGTCGCCCTGCAGCCCCCAGAGCAAAGATGCCATGATGAGTTTTAGCCATACACTCCCTCGGGTTCACACCCCTCAGGCCATAGCAGCATATGAAGAAGCCGCAAGACGCCATGCTGCCACTCTCCACCATGCGTCCATGGACTCCAGTCGCTCAAAGCAGCTTCTGTCTCAATGGAAAAGCAAGAACAACAACCATAAATGCTCCATAATGTCCCCAGATCCCTTTTCCTCCTCTGTCGACTCATCTTCTGGCCACATTCCACATCATGGCAGCATCGAGCTACGATCTAGCTCTGAACCATCCACTGTGGGCATAAATGGGGGCCTTGATGCCAGCACATACATGTCCAAGCTACCCACTGGTGCTAGTACCACACTACCGAGTAACTGCAGTGGAATCACTGGAGGTGCCAGGATATCAATGCAATCTAGACCTGGGTCTTCACAGCTAGTTCACATACCAGAGGAAGCACATGAAAATTACAACACCACTTCCCAAAGGACAGGAGCAAGTGACATAACAGTCAACAGTACAGTTCAAGCTAACTGGCAAAGAGCAGCTGAGAAGACTGGAAACATGCAGAGCACCCAGCCACGAATCATGCAAGTGATTTCTATGTCCAAGCAGCAGGGTCTACTTCAAACCCATTCCAAAAGCTTAGATGAAAGCAGCATGGGTTTTAATGATAATGGAAGTTGCCACGGTAGTACGCGATACAGGGCACTCACCGATCAAGACCCTATCAGCACCACAGGGCCCAGCTCACTGGGCAGCACCACTGGTAGCATTTCAGGAAGCACTGGAGCAATTGTCAGAGTAGAGGCCCACCCAGAAAATAACAAACCAGTTATTCAAGCTCCGTCTACAGATGGAAGTGGATCTTGGAGGTGGCGATCGCTGGATCATGGCAACAGTGTTGGTGGAAGTACAGGGACTAGCTGTGTTGGCAGTGGGTCAGGTCCTGGGAGCCTCAGGCAGACTGTTGAACACAATGATCAAAGCGTCGACTCGGAGAGTTCAGACTCAGCTCGTGAAGGGTCCGTTGACCGGAAGCATGGCAAACATATTATTATCACCACCTCAACTGTTGGAACCCCATGCATAGTTACTGTTCACACCCAGAACACTGGCCAGTCAGAGCAGAGGCTCCATCCTCAGGGCCTTTCCACCATAAGGGTCACTCCAGGAGATGGATGTTGTCCTGGGGCTGGAGGAGGTGGTAACTTAGGGGGAGAGGCAGCTTCCGAAATTCCCTCAGTTGCTTCCAGTCGTGAGTCAACGCTGCGAAGAAAAAGCAATAATATCATTATGATCCCAGAGAGAGCCAACAGTCCTGATAATGCTAGGAATGTTTTCTACAAGGGAACCTCAGTTACTCCTACTTTCAAGGAATAAAACACGATGTGACCAGACTGCCATTTGAAGAAAGCAAACAGAACATGTGTATTTTCAAAGATATCAATTCTAAAGAAGTTTATATATAGCATGGTTCTTGTATATGTTTACACTGAAGCACAACAGTTTGTGAGTTGTTAAAATAATCACTGTGTATTTCTTTGTGGTCACTCCTATGGGAATCCTTTTTATAGAGTCATACGTTTTGGACTAAAAAAAAACCCCAACAAAAAACAATGTGCCAGTCACATTAAGACAAAATTGTTGTTTCATAGCCGTGAAACCAATGTTTACTTCCCTACATTGTAAATACTGTGTATACTTGAAAGTGGTGCTACACCAGCCAAAACTATTTACTTTGTATAAAGCATTCTGTATTCTCCAAATACACCAATAATTATTTTACAAAGAATCGCAACTATGGCAAGAAGGATTTTGTAATTCTTCTGTCCTGTACAGGTTGCCCATCTTTAACAGAATACTGTTGGAACCATAAGTGAGCTTAGCATTTATCATGTAGCTACAAAGACAAATTAGATGTAACTTGCACTAAAGTAAGCGTTTACTGTACGCTGCATCATACTGTTTTATACATCTATCTACATATACTACTCACGAAGTGTTAGGGATATTTTGCTTTTGGTCAAACTTGTGGAAAAGACAAAAATTTTACACAATGATATCATAGCATGGAAGTAAGGAAGTTTAGAACAGTGATTTCCCTACCTCACACAGTGTATTAAAAAAAAAAGCCAAGAGTGGTGGGTATGCAACAATAATTAATGTCGATGTCTCTATAATGTGTCATGTGACTTGAGCATTGATTACAACTTGACAACAATGTCTCTGACTGTTCACAAGTCAACTTATAGTCTGTTGTGGCATGACGTTCCTCTCTTGTTGAAGAGCGACCCTTGAGTTTCTGGAATATGGAGTTACAAGTCTCTGTACAGCGACTCAGCCGACCCCACAGGTTCTCCATGAGATTCAGTTCTGGTGAAAATGTTGGCCACTCCAGTTATGGTACCCTGGTGTTCAGCAGTTGTTCCTCAAGAATGCAGCCTCGATGACCTGGAGCATTGTCATCCCTTTGTTTTTTTTATCATTAATCCATGACTAGATTAAAGATGTTGTTTAAGTTGTATCATTTCTGTTAAACGTGAATAAACTTACATCAGAGAAACATTCCCTGGCCCATACAAGGCCTGGCCCCTCAGCCTGTTGGTGTGATCAGTTATCGTTGCAGGTTGTCCCATACACGGACCACACTGATATTAATGATTCCTAATGATATGATGTGGCATGTGGGAGCCTCTCACCTCTCTTAAATGTACCAGGAGTTGAATGGCATTCATCATCCGGTTGTGCTGGGCATTGTTCACTTCATAGCAGACGTGGCCAAACAACGTCCACTTTTACACCTTTCTGTGACTCTGTGACTTCCTGTCTTTCTATATATACACGTTGTAACCTGCTGATGATGCTGTGACTCTGTAAGCTCAGTGGCCACTTCCATCTGAGAACATCCTGTTTGAAGCTTCACAATGGAAATTGTGTTGGTCAATTGTTAGCTGTTGCTCTGGTCTCATGATGTCAAAATGTCTACAGCATGTTGAGGAGAACTATTTTAGTACAAGAAAAAACCAACAAAAAACAGTTGAGGTAGGAAATGTATTGGTTGATTCAGGGATCAAACACCTGTTGTGAATTTAGCCATTAGAGAACAGTAGGTTGTGCAAAATGTATTGAAACATTGAACAGTTGGATATGTGTATTCAAAGATTTAGCGAAAGTCATATTAATTTCACCCTAACCCTTACCCTAACTTCATCTGAAAGCATAGTATCCCTAACTTTTTGTGAGTACATTTGTACATGAATGGCAATCAATTTTTAGAGCACATACAGCAGCAAAGCAGCACACTACTTCACCAGTTTTACAACTTCTAAATCTGTTGAAAGGTTGACAAAACGTCAGAAATTTTCTGACTCCACTTTGTATGTTTTGGGGTTTTTTTGGAAAGTATTTGAAGTATTCCAGTGAAATCCATTTTGTGTGCATGAATTACCTGAGTCAGTAAGAGTGGATAAAAAAGAAGACCTACTTCAGTCAGTGTAAATACAAAAAGCATTATCGGATGAATATCTTTTTAAAGGACCAAAAGCTTTGCAAACCAACGCAGCAATATGTGAAAAAGGAATTCTGCTCTTTCTTAAATCATACAGTTGTTATGATTCACCATGTTTTATGTTTGTTTCTCCAGTCCAGCGACTGCTGGACCTGCACAGCCTTCCATTAGACCTCAGAAAGAGATTAGGCAGCCATCAGCTTGTGTCGGGTTATGCATCAGGCAACACCACCTTTTAATACAACATGACGGCTTTGGAGTGGCCTAGATAAAGTATGAAAGTACTGAAAATCCTCCAGCGGTTGAATTAGAATAATTCTGTGAAGGAAAGTTACAAGCAGCTATAATGTTTAGGAGCATCTATGGCTTCACATAGGACAAACTTGGATTTCATAGCTTGTTTTTCTTTATAGGTAAAATAAATCCTTGTTTGAAAACTGCTTTTTTATTCACTCAGGTTTGATTTTCTAATTCCAAAAACTGCATAATCATCTATCGCAACTAATTATGAGAAAGGCTCCCTTAAATTTCTTAAATCCCTATTACTGAAGCTTCAGTACTTCAGTATAGTGTTTTAGAAAGGGATCTTTTTTGTTCACAATATCTAAATGCTGTATTCCTCTGTGTACATCAATGTAGCAAAAGCACAGATTGTTTTAAACAACCTAATGTTGCTTGTGTAGCAACGTTCAACAAAAGTTTCCTAAAAGATTTAGACATAAAGTGGCAATTTCAATTAAAATGCATTCTGTTGATTTTTGTTAGTGTATAGCTGTATTGGGTTCTCTCTGTTTTCTTACTTGACAACCAGGAATTTAAATGAACTTTTTGGGGTGAATGTGGAATATTACTGTCAAAAAGAAGTAAAACAGGTAACAGAAACTTTGAGCATTGTTCAGAAAAATCAGGTTTTGCTCCTTTATATGTTAGTGAGCCGAACACTGGCATTGTTCATCATTCTTCAGGGTGAAACAGCTCTGATGCCTTCAGGTTCTCTGTTTCTGAATTTTTTTTATGAGTTAAAAGGACATGGTGGTTCTCTAACCCTTTATCTTCACACTTTAGTGTTCAATTTCCAGTAGATTCTATAATCATCCAGTTTTTTGTTAATTTTTTCTTTTGCTTTTAACAAAATGCAGCCTCACCTTTTAACTGATCATTTGTCTTATTTTAAATCACCAGTGCAGTTTTTCTAAAATTTGTTTAATTTTTCTTTTTTTTTTTCACAAACTCCAGCAGGTTTGTGCAGACTGACATAGAGAATGATTGCTTCAAGATAATTGGACTTCAGCAGAGATTCTTGAGTATGCTATGTAAGAAACGGGTTTGGAAGAGCAAAGAAAAAAAAATCAGTCAAGCTGACCAAATCATTTTAGGGTTAAAGTGAACCCCCTTTATTTGTGGAGGCTTAGGGACCATCACTGCCTAAAATCTGTGAAAACTTGAAACCCCCTCTAACAAATCTTAGAACTGCCTACTTTAGAACACCAAATATACCTTGACATGCATAAAATTTATTGCACTCCTGGATTGGCTGCTTTGCAGTTACCAGCCAGTGATGTGTCAAGCATCACTGTTGGTACGTTTTTTAATTGTCCTTTAGAACTAATAAAGTCATGTATCCAGCAGCGTATAAATTGTACCATGGGCTGTCAGTCAGACTGGGGCATGCTCTGAGTTGTTGACCTGCTCCATCATCATCTTCTGTCTCAGCCTTACATCTCTGGAAGACGTCTGTTAATTTCCCAATGAACAGTTTCTCATTATTGTCTGCCACCAATTTTAATTTTTGCAGATTTTCAGTCACTTCCAATGGAAACCGTCCAGAGTGATCCACCATGTTCCACAGTAGCAAAGCTTTTTCAGCATGCCAGAGATGACTCTGACGTTGACCCTTTCTGATGACCTCAGGATCTTATAACACTTATGCAAGTATATTCCAAATCTCCAATGTGTATGTTGACAAATTCTTAATGATTACCTTAATTTTACTATCAATAATTGTTTGATATGACAATAATTAATTGAAGCTCAGTTATTTTGGGGAAGATGCATAAAACACCACTTTTAAGTTTTATATTATTGCTTTTCACATTTACTTCAGTGATATTTAGAACATTTTTGTTCTAAATATCAACTTGAGGAGAATTCAAGTTCCTGAATGTACAGTACTAAAACAAAGAATCTCACATTTGTTTCAGACTCTGTTAGTTCGGTGCTTTGATTTTGTTTTGTGCCAAAAGGTACTTTGTGAATTTTATGACAAAATTCATGCTTATTATTAAATGTTTATGTAATTTAAAAAAAAACATACCCACATACTTTTGGTATTTTAGAATTTGTTACAAAAAGAAACTGGGACAACTGTTTCTTGTCATATTGTGATATGGTAAGATGTACCAAAGTCTGGTTTTTCTCACATCAGAACATTTGTGTAGCACATTTTGTAACCCCAGAAACATTATAAGCATGTTTTTTTTATTATATAAAACAGTAGAATTTAGTCATACTATAATCATATATCATCATGTTTTTTCTTTGTCTCTGTCTGACTGTCATAAGACAAGCTTTGAATCTAGGTACAGTACTCAGTAGATTATTGCTTTTACAGTTGTCACTGTACATGATGACTATGAAATGTGTACATATTCAAGAAAATTGCAGGAAGTAGTCTTGAACGTCAAGACAATTTCTCAGTAAGGAAATCATTATTTACTAAGCAGTCCAAAATAGTTTACATATGAAACTTCATGTCATATTATTACTTCATTTAATGGTATGGCTGCTCTGTTAAAGTTCACCTCAGAATCATTTTACTTCTCATTTTTGAAAAGTGCCAAGAGAAGTCACTCCGCCTGTCTGCAATGTGAAACACACAAAACTGGCAGAAGTTCAGCTTTTATAAAAAACTAAATTAGAACAGCATCTTTCAACTCTTTCTTTTCACTTTGTGTCACTTGTGATTGTTCGGGTACATATAATATGTGATGAAAAGGGGAAAAGGTTACAGAGTAGTAGATAAGTAAACAAGGTCTTGTCTTATGGCCACAAAGACCCACTTATCCTGTTTGTTGCTCCCAGCACCAGCCTCAATTGTAATTCATGGTGTGGCTTTTGATATTTACTGGAGTAGATTTTATGATGTGAAAAATCTATAAATGTGTTATTCTTAAAAAGTATATTTCCTACAAACTTTGATACTCTAGTCATCTTGAAAAAATTATTTGGATCCAAGCCTTAATGTTCTAAACACTCCGTATAGCATGATGTTTGAGTTCACTGAAAAAGCACACCTTGTTTTACAGTTAGAAGAAAAAAACAACAGATCTGATTTTCTGTACTTCCTAGAAGTCAGTGGAATCCAAAAGTGTAGCGTGACACTGGTCCAGATGCTGAAACTGTGAATGGAGGATCTTTGCATGTGTAGACTAATGTGCCGTCTCTGGATGAACAATAAATGTTTTCTGATTCTGTCGTCTGATGTATGATTTCTGTTCATCAATGGAAAAAAGGAAGGGCTGGAGGATATAAAAGAATGACTGGAAGGAAGTGGTAAAAATATCACAAAAAATAATTACTAATAACCTAAAGTTCTTGAAATGAAGAATTAAGAGTATGTAACTTTTTTAAAATTATGGTTTTTTTTTAAACTGTCACCTTGTACCACTATCGTATGAGACAGATAATCTGTGAAAACATCACGTTCCTCCACCTCCTACCTGAGAAATCTGCAGAAATACACCGCTCATTCAGAAACAACCAATCAGAGTCAGAAGGAGGGTCTTAGCGCTGTCAGTCACTTCATGTACATGCTGCTCACACTCTCCCCATTGCTCTCTTCTATGCTACAGATACATGCCACAATATAGCCTGTCATGAATGCTCAGGCTAGTTACCATGGATACCGATGATAGTGGATAAATGGTTTTCCTGTCACTGTAAGTTTTTCTCCACTGTTAGCTCTTTTAACAGCACCTACACAACTCCTCCTGGCTCTGATAGGTCATTTTTGAGCGGTGCATTTCAGCAGATGGTTATAGTAGCTCAGAGAGGAGGTGAAGGAGCATGATTTTTTTCACAGATTATCTGTCATGACATGGTGACAGTTTTAATAAATATGTTTAAAAAAAATAAATAAATAAACTTACTTTTTTTAAAAGTTTTACCCAACCACTTGTTTTAGATTGATTCAGATATGTTGTATGTAAGTAATAAATCATTGTATGAGAAGTCACGTGCAGAGTGGGGCGCTGGGGGGACTTGAGCACCTGCCCCTTTTGCTCCTTGCTCCCAAGTGCCCTTTTGGTCTATTTATTTATTTATTTATTATTTTTTTGTATTATTATTTTCTAAGCCCTCTTCTGACTAAAATTATTTGTTTTTTGTTGGGGTTTTTTTTTTGTACAACATAATAAGCCCTCCGGTAACCTTGTTACCTTTGACCTTCTGCCCGTGACGCATGACGCAATTGCCTCTCGCGCAGTGAGATAAGGCGACTAAAGGCGCTTTCGCACTGCACGGAACGGAACGGAACGGTTCCGAGAGTGTTCGCATTACAACTTGCGACCGGTTCCACCCGGCCCCATGGAACCACTAGAGCTGTGGTTCCACTCGTGCCGGCCAAGGGGTTCTGCTTAGAACCAGCAGCTGATTGGCCGCTGGTTGTTAGTCAGACGTTGATTTTCCGTTGACAGCTGGCTCTCACTACTATATAGTTTTAAAAATAATGACGTCCGGCACCGCTTCGATCGCGCCCTCAGCAGGGCCGTGCAGAGACCACTAAAGGGGCAGATGCTCAACAACAAAAAAAGGGCACATCTTACCGCATTCTAGGACAGAATATTAACAAAGCCACACAGCTTTCAGAGTTTAATAAACAATGATAAATTACAAAATTGTGAAATATACAATCAAAGCTAAGGTAAATCTCTATACAGAGCATACAACTATGCATATGTAAGATATTTTATTAGTAATTTCTTTCAGCAGGTCTACTTTGTTATAGGAAAGTATTGCAATATTCAAACCCGCAATTTAGCAAGATATGTAAATCAGAGCTGGGGGTTTAGTTCTGATTTACATATTTTGTCTTTACAGAATTACACTATTAAAAATATAAACAAGGGCACAATGCAACCTTTTAGTGTACTGTAATATATATAAAAAAGCTGCCTGTTTGCTACACTTGCAGTGGAGATGAAGATGGTCCATTCAGCAAAGCAGAGCTGCATCAAACTTTAATGTGGAACTGCAGAAAAAAAGCAAAAAACAAAAGCAAAAATTGAATTGTTAATGCATGTCAACATGGGAAAAGCCTACTGAGTTTTGCTTAAAACTTTTTTAAACATTTAAATCACACAATTGTCTCATGAAGTGAATTTTTTTTTGCAAAACAAACTTATTTGTGCATGTCAGAAATCTTTTCTTGATATTCTAAGTTTTGCTTGTGATTCTCACATGACATCATGGGCAGGAGCCAAAATCACAACAAAAGATTTCTGATGTGTGCAAATAAAAGTTTATGTTTGGCAAATAACTTGTTCACAAGACAAAAATTAGTTATTTAATTAAAAAAAGTATTTTAAACAACTTTTTTTAAAGGAATCATTACAATTCCAAAAGTTTTGATTACAATTTT